TATATATATATATTATAATTTTTGTCAGATAATATTTTCATCATTAAAATAAAAAAAAACTGTTTTAATTCACTTACAGCATATAAAATATTTAAAAGTACTTTTTGGTAGTTTTAAAAAATTTTGATAGGAAAAAGTTTCAAGAAAATTAAATAATTTTAAGGTTAAGTTTCGCTCGGAGTTTACTCATTATTCAAATTTCTTTACTGCAATTTAAAAGTGCTAAATGGTTTTTATTAAACAAAAACAATCCTAAATTTAAAGTTTATATTCTTTGATGTTTTTCATAAATTAAAATGTTAAATATTTGTTCCAAGAAATGTGCTTGCTTACGATTATGTTAAATTTCATGCATGCATGTACCATTGAATTATAATTAAAACAGCGTTTAAAATCAGAAATGGTAAAAAAAAATACCTATACTCTTTTCGGTGTGGCAATGCTACATCTTCAGTAAGATGAAATACAGGAATGATAAGAACAGAGATTATTGAATTCTGACTGAAGTTACAGCATTCAAAAGAGTTAAATCAACAATTTAAGGAGTCAGTCAATTAAAAATTTATAATTTCCAAAAAAAGCAATAAAGTCATTAACAGTAGACATTTTCTTTTTGATGATGTAATAATCTTCCCAAAAAAATCCAGGTCAGCAAATTAAATATATTTATGAATAAAATAAGATGAAGCAAATTGAGCCTATGACCTTCTGATCAGTCATGATTTGTCATGAGCGAACGGTGGAGTTCTTAGCTCTTGACGTAGCTGTAATGTTCTGTGAACCCATATTTATGAGTTGTTTTATTTATTTATTTATTTTAATTATTTTTCTTTGGTCTGATGTATGACAGTCCAATTGGCATGGAATTTTGTATTTTCCCAAGTTGTTAACGCATTCAAATGAGAATTTGAGATTCGAGAAACTGATTTTTTTTTAATTCAGAGGAAAGATAACTTGGAAATTAAATTTTCAAAAGAATTTTCGATGAGGAGAATTTGAAAAGTGTACCAAACAAATCACAAAAGTGAGCACTGATTTTTAATTCGTGATTTTAAACGTTGTTTTCATTGGCAATTTTTTCTAGCACATATAATTACTCTCGTAATTTTATTCACGTGCTAATGTTACTCACATTGCTTTAATTTAAAGGAAAAATAATTTAAAGTGTCACTTTTTGCATTTACTAACACCAAAAAACGCTTGACAAAGCAAGCTTTTCATTAAAAATATCTCATTTATGAAGAACTGGTTGACAAAATTTACATTGCATATGCATACTTACAAAAAAATTTTAGTATTATACTTCTTGGAGTAATTTTAGTATCTTACTTTTAATCATTGTTCACTATTAGTACTAAAACGATGAAAAATTAATAAATTTACTTACTTTTACAGCTTGATGAACTCAAAGATAAAATCATATTTTAAAGGAAAAAAATCATATAAATAAATCGTTTCCTTAAAAAAAATATGTAACTTCCTGATGTAATCAAAACAACGGATAAAACTTTCTAGTCACAACCCACAAAAAAGCAATCGCATTTATTACTCCCGTTTGGTAGATATGTTTACTCTTGATAGTAATATTTATTTTAAAGGAAAAATGTTTCGGAGAAACGCAAACAGATTTATGTATCAAGGGCATTTCAAAGATTTATCATTATCTACTGAAATTAAATAACAAAGATAAAAACTGAAATAGAACAGTTTTTATAAAAATAATAACACGTTTATACCTGTTATTATTTATTATGTTGTTATTTATTATTATAAATAATATAACACATAGCTACAGCCTGTTAACACGCATATTCGCTTTTACTGAAGTTGACTGCAAGCTTAAAAATCGTTATCTAAAATAATAATTTTAATCAAGCTCATTTAAATACTTAACTTCTTTTAAACAGATTATCAGTGCGTATATTTTAATAATTATAAGTACAGGTGCCTATAAAATCGAAGACAAAAAGGTTTATAAAATAAAGCTTGTAATCAAAGCAGTAAGTTTCATTTTTTTTGTTATTTCTTCATTTAAGTTTTGCAGTTATTTAAATTACAAACAGTAAATGAATCTTTAAAGCTTTAACTAGAGAGGTTAGTTATAAAAGATTTAAGAAAATATTACATTCGTGCGAAAATGTAATTAAATAAGATATTCCTTATTAATCAAGCACTTTTTGATAAATTTA